AGGAATGGATAAACTTTGACTCATATGCTTGTACTAACTACTTGTTGAATCATACACAAAGGCACGTTTTCTAACATCAAGTTACTGATGCGGTTTCGTACAATCAATGTACAACCAACTCATAGTCAACAACTCATATCTCTAGGTTTGAAGAATATAAGATATTATCGTCTCATGATCACTCGTGATAAAATCCATGAAGTGATTCAAATGAGCGTGAGTTTAATCCAATACTCGAATCTTATTCCAGGAGCACTCATGAATATTGCAGCTATATCTAAAACATCTAGACATATTACAGACCTATTCATGACAGTCTTGCCTCAATACCTACTTCCAAAGTATGATCGAATGTAGACGGTTTGAATAACCTAGTTATTCGGGAAGTCAGAACATGCAAAGTGAAACACAAGAATAATACTAATCCTATATGGCCCAAAACACTTTTGAGTCATATTGATTACTCATTATTCATTGTATAATGTTTCAATTTATCAACTTAATACTTGAATTAAAACAATAGTTATGACACACTCCAAGCATGCACACTATGTTTGCCTATGGTCCTTTCTTTGTGGAATAGATCAATTGAAAACATTTCAATGATGCTCATTTCACAATTCCAAATCCTTATCGTAAATGTAAGAACACCAAATTCTTTTCATTTACTATAATCTGTTAGATTCTAAACTTATATGCAATGATCCTCTTCTAATGACTAAGCACAAAAGTCACAAAGACTCGACAACAAACATTACAAAGTATTCCAATGGAGAGCAATTCTATGGAAACGAAGTCTCACATTCAAAGTACATTCCTTTGAATATCCTTCTTACATTAAGTTTTCTAATCTTACGCAGATTTAATGAATAACTTCCACCTACGGAAACATTTACATATTCCCATTTTGACTATCACTTCTAAACGAGAGTTTCCTCTTTTCAGAATTTGTCGATATGATCCTCCCAAAATTAACACTATACTTCCAACTGTCCATGAGCAACCAATCTTTGGTAAACCTCAGATTGTTTTCGACAATTGCTTAATCATTTTAGTCATATCCAGTTCTAGTCTTTTTCCCTCTTAATGCCCTAGCATTTGGAAAATTTAGAACGGATGAATATTATAGCACATGTAATCGATCCTATACCCGAAGCATATGGGACACGATTCATGATGTCTCACATAAGGACATGATACTCGACCAGTCTTTTGCTATAATTTTTTTTTTCTATTTGCCATGTTCTCAGAATTCAGACTATGAAGAGGGATGTCGTAATTATAATCGGATTTTGAGAACGCAATTAGCATTTCCATATATAAAATTTCCTTATGTTGAACCATTCCAACATAACATTCATATATATACTTGACTAAATTTGAT